ATGGAGATGACAAAACATCTGTGTTTCTACAGATGGCAGTTTAAGAGGAGTAGGATGTATGGAGAAGAATAATTTTTTGTGGAGGGGAGTCCCGGTTGATAAGCTAAGCAAGATTCTGAAAGAGTTGATTGTTAAGAGCTTGGGAAATCTTTTTAAAGTCTCTCCCCCCCCCCCCTTTGCTTAATAAACAAATTACCACAATTTGGGGGGGAACAACCTTAAATGTTTAAAAAATACTCATTCATAGATCCAAGTCTGTGTGCAGGTTGGAGAGTTTTGGATGGTTGAGTATGACAGGTTAATAGACTTCCTGTTGAAATACAGTGGTGAGTCAAACAGCTTTGTGCCGGCTGTGCTCCTGAAGGGTGTGGATCAGTGCTGAGCAAGTGATGCCTGAACATCATTTGCTAAATGCTGACCTATGATTTGGTTGGACTGGGTATAGAAAAAGCATTTTATATTGGGCTTAAGGAAAAAAGCACCACTGGTAATTTTGGAAGCTCTAATTGCTGTGGCTGCATGGACTTCTCACTGAAGCCACACCCATGTGATCCATCTGTAGAGGGCCATTGTCATTATGTCCTGCATTTGGGTTTCCTGTAGAGATCTGGCTGGCCATTGTGGGAACCAGTGCTTTTTAGTGGAATGGTATCTGGAAATGTGCTTCCAGTTATAAATGCATTTCCTCCCTCCTGGGTATGTGTCCACATACTTGGTACAGTAGGCTGACATAAATACTGTTAATATGTGCAGGTGAACCCAAATCCGAGTCATTTAAATGAAGCTTAAGTGTTTATAGGATCACAGCCTTTTCAGATTTTCTTGCAGGGGCACAACTTGTTTTATTACTTCATCCTTTCATATTACAGCAATGATATTTCAGGTGATCATTGCATATTGTTTATTTATTCCTTTTGAAAATAATGAAGAGGCAAGGTCCAGTGTTGCAGACCCCCTTCCTGTATCAGCATGCCATCTGTCAAATCCTTATCACACTTGCTCCTCTGTCTACATGGATTGCAAAACTTGTTTTGGTCTTTCTCAATCAAGGGCCTGCAGAATACTTCCTCAATCAATGGATATATAGTTAACATCTGTTGCTTCTTACAACAAACAGAAGCTATAGGACTGATAAAATAACATCAGTGTTGCAATTTCCACTTAACATTATTTCTGTGATCACATGCTTTTAGAGCTTGGGAGTGGAAATTTGTGCAACTCGGAAAAAGGAGTTTCAAGGTGTCCACATTTCTGTGCTATCTCTCCCCTAACTTACTGAATATGCTATAAAGGAGGCGTTACTTAGAGACACAAAAATTTTCTTTTTGCCTTCTGCTTCTGTTACTGGACTGTGCACTTTAAAGAGCAACAGTATAATTATTACCAGTCATACAATCTACAGTAGCTATGCTAGTATGCTATACAACTTTAATATTAGCAATATTTGATTGCATTGTTGGCACTTGATTGACTAGATAGTGCCATCCTCTGGACCTGTGGTTAGACTAAACAAGAGTTTCTAGGAAAGCCTTGTTAAGTTAAAATACATATTTTTATGTATCCGTGTGTACCTAAAGACTGAACAGGCGCTGAATTTTCTGTAGACTGGGACTTACCTCAACTTCCTTGAAGCCTTCCCAGTTGAGTTTGGCAGGTTTCTATGTTCTACAATCAAAATTTAGCCCTTCCATGCAGGAAATCCAGTGCATGTACAGCTTTCCACAAGGCAGAATAGGTGTAAAGTAGCTGTAATCAAGTAATTCTGTGAACTGTTCAGTTATGTTGTATGGAACCCATTTTTTGTTTGTGCTGTGTATATGATGGAGATATGTTAGATGACTTCATTGCATAACCACATAAAACATTAGTGTGCTTAAATATAGTTGGTATGAATTTGCCTTAAGACTGGTGCTGTTTGCTCTTGGTTGGGGAATGACAAGTCATTGTCCCGGTGGCATTTCTAATCTAATCTGACAAGGAAAGAACCATAGGGATGCAGAAGTTCCTTGTGAAACAGGTGCTTGTACCATTGATTTTCAGCACTGTCAGTAGAAGTACTGGATGTACTGTTTCCCTCCTTGCACTGCTGGGGAGGGACAGGATAATAGGGAAAGCAGTGGCTTCTTATACCATTCACTTTGTACACTGAAAATGAGTGCACACTTTAGTTCCTTACTTGGAGAATCATTCAAAAGACCACACTCAGGTAGTTGTCTGCATAGAGAAGATCCAAGAAAGAGCATAGCAGGTAGCAGGGTGGATGTCCCTCTATAAAATAGAACTTCCCTAAATATGCAGATCACAGTCTATACGCATCTGGGTTCCTTTGGGAGTAAGGGCAGGATAGATGGAATTGAATGAATGAATGAATGAATGAATAAAAGAAAACTATGTTGATTGGACTTTCCTGGCCTTATTTTTCAGTTATCTGAAAGACCTGCCATGGCTCTAGGCAGTGCATATTTTTTAATGCATTTTGTTCCTAGATTTAATCCTAAGAATTTCCAAGTGTCGTGTCATTAGTAACAGGGATAGGGAAAGACTTGTGCCTGAACCTCTGAAGAACTGATTGGAGCACTGATATTTCTGGGTAAATACCCAGTTTAAGGTGATTGTTTTCTGCTTATTAGTAGACTATCAACAACATGGTGCAGTTTCCTACTTTTCTGAATTAGGATTGTCTAGAAAGAATGTTGTCCTCAGCTATAACACCACTGCTTCTTCCTTCTCTGTTTAGCTTAAAACTTGATCCACTTAACACCACTCTGCCTAAAGATTACTTTAGATTTTCTTTTGGCCTCCTGATCACAGTTGCCAGAGACATGTAACAGATGGCTTTTTTTAAATGCAAGAAAAGTAGTTACTGCTTCCCAAAATAGCCTACTTCTGCATGCCACCTGCTGCTGCTAGTTGATGCAGGTTGCTTAGCAATTCTTAAATGAGTAGGAAATTGCCATTACCCTGGTAACCACTCCTAAATAGAAACTGACTTAAAGGAACGAAGAATAGAGAGAAACGTCCATAGCAAGTTTGCTAATGGAATTACTTCCCCACCTTTCTGTCTTAAAATAATTTGCTAACAACAGAAACCTTGATTACTGGGGATATGTGGAGAATGACAGTATGCTTTATAATGCAACTGCATCCTCAGACTTGTAAAGTATTATGCAGTTTATATGGGGGTCACAAACAATCAGTGATCCAGTTTTAAATGGGGGGCTATGAATTCAACATTTTAAAGGCTTTTTTTTTTGTTCTAGCATGTCCCTATTACGTTGACTGAGCAAAACAATATCAAATATCTCCCCTCCCAAAAGATGAGTGATATCTTACAACTTAATTCAAGCTATGTTATGATTCATTGTTTCCAAAGAATATCCATATTCTAATTTTTACAATGTATAAACTGATTAATGAAGAAAAATTCTTTTCATCAGTTGACAGCCTTAGTTTTTCCACTGTTTCAAGGCATCATTGTGGGTGGATGCTTTTTTAATTCCTGTAGATAAAACCTTGAAATTAGCTGGAGTTATTACTGACAAGTAATCACAGGAGTGTTATTACTCTTCATGCATAGTCCCTGTTAGAAATGTATTTAAAATGTAAGAAACACACTTGTAGAGTTCAGCTTTATAGAAAATTACAGAACATGCCATATGATTATAGGCTTGCTCTGTGTCCCCATAGCCTTATAAGCATTGCTGCTAAGTGTGAGGACATCTGAAATGAAGAACAGAGGGGTAATGGGTACTGAATATCATAGCCAGTAATGCATAACACCCCAGATCAATTTTCTCCAAGTTCATTCCCACCCAGATTCAGCCCCAAATTAGTTAGTCTTCAACTCTCATTCCACTCATTTCCCTTTTGCTCCCAGCTCCAAGAGAAAGAGGAAAGAAAATCTCTGTATTTGTCTTTTCCCCTCATGCAGTCAAAAGTGCAGTAAGCTCAGCCTGGCAAAGACCCACGAGCCATTAGTACAAACTCTGAGATGGAGGAAACAATGAACAAGGCAGGGAAGGGACTTTCTACCCGAACAGTACATGCGAGTAAGAACTGCCTGCTCGTACACCTCGCTGTGGGACCATACAAGCTGATAAATGGGCATAAAGGAAGTATTATTGTGATAACGTATGAGAAAGCACTGAAATAGCATTAATCTTGTAAATTGGTGGGCGTGGGGGAAGAGGACCAGAGTGGGCTGTTTCCTGGTCTTGTGCAGGCTGTTTCCTGGTGCTTTTTGAGGGAATTTATTAGCTCTATTAAACTAAAAAATTAGAATTATAAAATTGATAACCAGTAAGAATAGTACCAAAATCCACCCCAGTCACCTAGCACTTGTCCAGTGCTGGTGGACTCTGGTTCCAGTCTAGAAATAACCTAAGCTGTAAGGGCTGCTATGATGGGACTTGCTTTGCAATTTTAGTGCTCAGTTGGTCAACATTGTCATTGATCCTGCGGTACATCAGAGACTGCTGTGTTTGTAAGAAGAGGCCCAGCACAGCTACACTAGGTCTTGTAATGCATGCCTGAAGGCTATTCTGAGCTCTTGAAAGTTTTCTATAAGGATTTTGCAAATTGCCGTGGAGTTTGGGCAGGGCAAAATTAGCTTGTTTCAGGATATGCTGAGCCTTTCCAGAGCCAAACTCAGCAGTTCATTCAGTTCCTAGTTGTTAATAGTAGCTTGTTTCCTCTTTTGTTGTGTATATAGGCTTATTTGATTATATGACACCTTTAAATAAAGTTAATGTATCCAGATTACTCTTATGAATGTGACTTTTCTGAGGTATGAAATGGAAGAAGGAAGACATTTCTAGCTGCTTTGAGCTGTAGATGCTCATAGGTTTTGTATGCAGATTGTTTGTGCCTATTTATTTTGAACTTGAAACAATGTGGGGGACCCTGCAAAAGAGCTACAGCTAGAGAAGAGGCCTACTTCTTGGAAGGTAGAATAATACATATATATGCTATTGTTCAACTCTTATATGTTCTGTCTTCAGGTTGCCATCACGAAAGCCAAAGTGGATTTCTCCGGAGTGCTGTGCCTGCCCCCTTCCGTCGCTGCTGCAAATGGGCTGGACGGAGGAGGGGCCGGCGAAAATGAAGATGAAGCAGTGTTGGTGTCTCTTTCGGCGGCACCAAGCCCCCAGAGTGAAGCTGTTGCCAATGAGCTGCAGGAGCTGTCCCTGCAGCCTGAGCTGACCCTAGGTCTCCATCCTGGCCGGAACCCTAACCTTCCTCCACTAAGTGAGAGGAAGAATGGTAAGTGGAACAGTAACAGTTCATGCTTTGTGCTTCGTCCCTGACAGTCTTACAAATATTGAAGCAGGCTGTTTTTGTACAGGTTTTGGAAGTGATGCAGCTTAAATTCTTACCACTGCAAAAGAATCACAGTCAAATTTGCCTATAAATTGTATAAATTATTCAATGGGCAGTAGAGGGTAGTTCTTAAACTAGTAATATGTATTACACTCAGCAGTTTTCTGCAAGCTGCAGTTGATTGGGATTGGAAGTAACCTGACTGGGAATGCCTTCCATAGTTCACCCCCAAGGAACATAAAATTGCATATGGTGGCAGTTCTCCAAGTAGTTTTGATGTGCAGTTGTGTAATTGGAGATCCATATCTGATGGGGATATAAAACCCAGTGCCATTAGTACCTACAGAGCTGATCTACTAACACTGAGCTTTGTTATTGCGAAGGCAGGGTTGTTGCCGTGGTGGAGTATTCAAAGCGCTATAGAAAAGCCAAATATTATTAGGGTTATTTAGTGTGAGGGCTGGACCATGTTATCCCAAGAGAAAAGCTAAGAATCATTTGCATGCTGTTTCCCTCTCTGGGCTGCCATTCAGTCAGCAGATCTTGAGTAGCCATGTCAACTTGCCTTCTCACTTGCTGCTGCTGCTGCTGCTGAACATCTGGTCAGTCTAAATCAAACACTTCTCAACCATAATATGATTGTGGAGGAGGTGACTGACCTGGGGTCAGTCTTGGGTGGGCATGCTCTACTTGCCTGTCTTGGTACTCAGTGCAGCAACAGCATAGGTTCAAGGGTTTGGGGACAAGAGATTCCATTCCTCTCCCTCATAGAGGAACCAACCCACCTCAGCCAGATGTGAGGGTTTGTATCTGGTGTTGGGTCAGAGAGACAAATAGGGATCTTGTGGGTGTTTACCCACTTGCTGCCCAGCTGCCTCCCTTTCTCAGTTGGTAGAGGCAGTCTTGGTGTAGTATTGGAGAACAAGAACAATGGGTTCTGGTGGACTTGAATGTCCAGCTTGGGTCAGCCTTGTCTAGTCTGGCTCAGGACTTCTTTGCCATTAGAATAGAGTGGGCTGTCTGAATACATCATGGGCTCAGTGTATTTGCAGATCTGGTTTTTGCTACAGAATAGATTGGAAGTAAACAAGTGTTTGAAGGGGTGAGTGTCACATGGTTTTCATAAATGGATCATGATCTGGTGAGATTTGGCTTGGCTATGACTAACTCCCCCTGCAAGGGTGGGATCCATTGGGTTGGTCCACCCCAGGAGGTGATCTCACAAGCACATCTTTAGAAACCTAGTATCTGGAGCAATTTTGCAGTAACTTTAGAAATGAATTTTATGGGCCACATAGAGCTCCTGAGGGCTGTAGTTTGCCCACCTGTGCCATTATTGGTTTGGGGAAAACTGACCTGATAATATATCCGAAGTTTACATCTGTCTTCATCTTCAGTTGTACAACAGGTAATTTGGGATGTATGATAGAAATAAAATGTAGTTATAAAGTTAGCATGAAAGCTGCTGTATGTAATACTACTTTTAAAAAAAGCATTTGGCTTTACAGATTTAGGAATATATAATTAGCAGTGTATTTTTACTGAAATTATATAATTAGGAATAGATAATTAGTGCTTTTATATTACAATTCCCTATTGAATTCTTAAACCGGAATGTGCAAAGTAGCATAGGTACAGGTAAATGTTTAATTTGCCACGTCATACACAGGTTTAGCCATGAATGTTTGCTGTCTAGGTGTGATCATTTCCTCCTCATTTTGACCATAGTTGTAACTCTGATAGTGCAGTGTAAGTGGGCTGCAGTTCATTGTTTAAACACTCCTAGCCTTATCAAATTGGTTCTGGAGTAAACCTGGTGCTGAATGTATGACTAATTCTTATGCTGGGCAATGGAAAGGATATGCTAGCAGTGGCATGAGGTAGTCATTACAAGGGGCAGAAAAAGTTAACTGTTATTGTTGTTAAGGATTCTTCTGAAGGATTCTTCTGTTCTCAACTCCAGACACAGTCTGCTGAGTCAGAATTGAGTTTACTTAATGTGCTGAGTAGCCTCCCAGGAGGTTAACCCTCAGTGTGCCTTACATTGCACACGTTTTTATAGAAAAAATGTATTTACACAATCTTTTACTAGGAAATGCATACATTTCAACCTCAAAGTCTGAAATGATTACATTTGCATTTGTCTGTAATGTGGTTCTCCTTGTAATGTTGATGTGCCTGGTAGTTCTGCAAATTGAAGAACAACCTTGGCTCCACAAATATGTATGAACTCCATTTTCTTAGTTACCTAGTATGATCATATATTGCTGTAAGTTCAATACCTCAAGACTGGAAACATACAATATGTTAACGAGAATAAACACCATATAATTTCAAAACTCTGTGTTACAAACAAAATTGGCAAAAATATATTTGGTTACTAAAAGAAAGCTGTGCTCCAGGAATGTCAGTACTGTATAGCTCAATGAAGATGTCAAACCTGTATGCAGTAGCTTTGAAAAAGACAAATTCTATGCCAGGGATCATTAGCAAGGAAAGCAAGCAGAGGGTCACCTGTTAAGGATTGTTGTACAATTTAATATGTGTAAAAATCAATGCCCAATAACCTTCCATCTTAGGACAAGTCCACCATAAGTGATTTAAGGTGCCTTTGTCCTTGCAGCCTCTCTAACACATAAAAGAATGGTTCTGATTTATATAACTCGGCAGGACCAAAGTCGAAAGCCATCTATGAATGAGCTTTAATCCAGCTGAATTCAGGTAGACTTGGTTTGGACTGCAGCCTTAATGGTTTTGCTTCCTGGTAGCAATATGTTTTCATGCAGCTCTCAAAAATAATTCTTGTATGCTATTTTTTTATTTCGTAATTTTGGCTTTCACTTGCAATCAGATGATCACATCACCATTTCCCTGTGCTTCATCACTTGTATAGCCTTAGTCAACAGAATTTGTAATCTTTCATATGTCCTGAGGCCATAAAGCTTGCGATTGTATCAGTCTGGGTCTGTGTTGGTTCTTTCACATTCCTGGCTGTTCGGCTCTCCAGATTGTGCATTGTTAGTCACATAACTGATCAGAAGAGACTGGGTAGAACTTGCAGTAGCTTGTTAATCTGCATTGACATGCATAGCTTAGGAGTTTTCACTGTGTAGAAAAGGAGCCCGTTCTGGAGAAACTCAGCTGTTGGGAATGTATGGAATTTCAGTCTTGAGACACTTCATGAAATGAACTTAATGCCTCAGGTAATGGAGAGTTTCCACTCAGCTATACAATGTTTGGGGCTCTTTCAAACATGCTGTGAAATTCTGGACATATTGTTCTGGAACTGGAACTTGTCATAGCTAGTGCAGGGTCAGTGTTTAGTATACCTAATAGTTTTTTCAGCCTTTGATCCCCAGGCTATTCGTTTTCAAGAGATCCATGAATGTTGCTTGCAGATGTGAACAGTATGCATTTGGAAAAACCCACAAGGATCTTTGTGGAAGCCTGACAAATAATGAAGTTGCCTTGATTCAGCTTGAATCATCAGATAATTGTGCCACAGCACCACCAAAAGTCAACAGATCTAAATCAAGTTTTTTCTCTCTCATTTCAGTTCAGACCAAAGGAAATTAGATCATAGCTTTGCCCTGCATTTTTTGTGCCCATGCAGCCTTTCCCAGACACATTATGCAAATGAAACAATGTGCTGGTAGAATGACAATGAATACATTTGACAAAGTTTTGGAGGTCTATCCAGAGGTATATACTGTGCTTTTTTTCTTTAAAAATGTTTAGGGGTACTCTCATTTTCCTACGCATATTGAAATACTACCCCTCAATGAGGCCAAACTTAGATTCACAAAAGGTTTAGGTGTATGCGTACCCCCAGAAAAAAGCACTGGGTACATAGAAGCATAAGAACTTGAGCAAAATTTAATTTGTATATTTGAATAAACAAATGGGCAACTGGAGCATTTGGAAGGAAATGCAGCTCTTCTGTGGTAGCATTTGTTTGGTTTCCACCATGAGAAAGGATAGCCTAGCAGACTGCCTCTCCCTGGTGCAGCCAAAGCCAATCTTTTAAGATCTGAGAAGCTCCTGCTCATCATTCCATGACCAACGTGGAATGCCCGCTTTGAATAATTCATGAGAGGAAGACAGTAATGGCATAATACTCTTTTTTTGTGTGCACTGCTCAGCGTTATTTGTGAAATACAGTTGCATTTTCTGTTGATCTTGTTTCAAAGGAAAATTTGTTGAATGTTTTATTTTTATTTTTAATGTAAACTTTGTAGGGATTTTTAAGTGGTCAAATTTTTAATAAATAATACTTCATCTGACTGATGCCTAATTGACTTTTAGATTCATTAAGTGATACTACAATAATATAAGGTATCTTCTGGATATCTATATTTATGTTAAAATACACTTGCTTCATGCTCTCACATGACAATATACACACTCTGTGTAGAAGAAGACCCATTAAGAGGCTCTTATTTTGGTCCCGGTGCACTCAACCTTGTATCTGAGAAACTTGGCCTCAAGTCCCATCTTGGCTTCTGTGCTTGTGCCAGCTTTTGATCCAGTTGCAACCTCTTGGCCTCAATTTGTTATATTTAAAATGGGTGTCATATCAGCTTGCAAGTTAGATTTGTATAAGGGTGAATACAAATGTTATGAAATGTGCAACAAACTAAAAATGTGATATAAATAGTTAAGTGCAGTGTCAATAATTCCTTTTCAAGATACTGTGTATCATTGTGCAGCAGTCGCTTGTGTGATAGCAAATTTATTCCAGGATCTCTTTGGTTTGTTCTGGTTAGTGCCCCCCAATTCTGAAGGTAGTAATAGCTTTAGAATTACATCTATGCTAGAATTATTTCTGTATTTAACTTTAGCAAAGAGTAACAGTCCATATTAGAGTCAGTTTGAGGAGGGGGAATCTTGGAACAAAAGTAATCGAGTAATCACAACTACACTATTTGAAAAAGTATAGAGCA